TGAATGTATATGCCCCCATTGAGTAAACTGTAATAAAGGAGAGCAGAATTATCCATGGGCACGAGCGCGGTCAGCAAAAAGGACATGCAATTCCGATTAATGCCCGCCGCCCCAACTAAGAACAACTGAGTGGCCTCCGTCGGAGGGCATCTAGCAAGTAAGGCGGTCCAACTGAGCAGGCGTTAGAACTAGAACTTTCAGCGGCTGTAGCTCGCTCCTCGCTCGCTGTGGAGTCGAATAGAGTGGGACAGTCTCTAGCTTGGGGGCTGTACTACTTGCACAAGGAAGGACGACCATGTACTACTCGAGCGCGGGGGCTGTCTTTAAGTGCGCCCGAAACCGAAAGAGTCAGCAATTAGAGAATTTCACCTAAGCAAGATACGACCCTCCTCCCTCTAGGGTTAAGGTACGCTCCCGAGGAAGCGGATTCTCAACTAATGACGCCCTCTGGACAAACGGCAGTTGGGGGATAGGTGTCCCGACAGCGGCTGCGTATTCCCTCGCGTAATTACGCAGCGAGAACAGACACGTTGTACGCTGAGGATCCCTAGCAAAAAGATTATCGCATATATTCTTGCTGGAGGGAAGGAGGTTCGTATCAAAGTAGAAAATCTGAGAACGCTCGTGCTTTTCGCGAAAAATTCCTCACTAGGGGACGCGACGTGTTGTTTAGAAATACTGCGATGATTCGCGGCGGGGCCGTCTATAAGTGTTTTTAATCGTACCGCAGACGCGAAGCGGCCGGGCGGCGCGGCGGATTTGGTTGCACCTTCCGTTCTTTCGAAATCTCTTCAGACGTTTTCAAGACTTTAAGAGTTATTGTGGTTAATTTGATGTTACGTAAATACACGAAGGGTAGCCGTGTAATTGCACACATCAGGCGATTACCGTAGCCCCAATCTGTTTGCATTCGCCCATGAAGTGCAACTGTGGTGCGATAGGTTGGTAATTGTATTAATGGGTTCTTTATCAAGATAGCTTTCAAGGAAACATTCCGCAGCTAAACATTCCGTACTAATTCTACTTTGGTAACTGGTACGGTCTCTTATCGGAAGAATTGACGAATTGAAGAAATAAAGAATTGTAGCATTGATGAAACGAATTAATCGCATTAGTTTGAAGATGTACAGGATTTCGGGAGTAGATCGAAAAATGACCAATGCTTCTCGTCACTCTGCATTTTGGGACAATTTATCCTTTACTGCTAAGTTTTCGAAGTTGGAGTTCCGTCTTCGATATGTGTAAAGTAGGTCTCCAGGCGTAGTTCGACTTCCTGAACATGAAATTACATCCATTCAATCACCGGGGACCACTAGCTTAATCAACGTGGCCAGCGAACACTACTATCCTTCTCACCAGTCCGAGCGCAACTCCAGTACGTGCAAGGGGCTGTCCAGGAGTGGGGATCTATGCAGGAGGTCACAAGCACAGCTGGTTGGGGCCATCGGAGTTAATCTGAGACGCGTGCTACGCACTCACACAGCTGCCTTACACCTTACATTAGCCAGCATTAATCTAGCTTTGGCAGTCTGTACGTGCCTCGTACACAACGCATTTTCATGATGTCTCCTCAAATATCCCTATTCATGACTCCTAGACTAGACGGCGGTGGACGCGGGCGTTCGCTACATTGAGATCTTGATCCCTAGCCGCTGACGCTGCCTTTTTCCGCCTCGAAACGACCAAGGCTTCTGGCTTCCTTTCCGAGCGAGAAGCAAAGCAGCACCTGAATGGGTGTCTGCGGTAGTGATCTTTCTCTTCACTGGGACAGAGATATAGCCGCGTGGAAAGAACGTTTGGCCGTGAATCAGACCCCGCATTACAAAAGGGAAAATCGCATCCAAACTGAGAACCACAGAGGAAATCGAGACCTCGCAAGATGAGGAAGGCGCCGTTAGACTGTAGGTCTGTTCCAGCCGCTGATACCTCATAGTAGCGGAGGAAAATTCAAATGCCTTCTTCAGTTCAATATACAAAATGGATTGGAATGAAAATCATGTATAACCCTCCAAGAACAAACAGTGCGCACGATACAGGTGCTGAAAGACAAGTAGGATACCCTACGATGTCAGTGAAACGGCTGATCAGACAACTTGTTAAAAACAATACTCTTCACTAGTGCGTAGCTGCCGAGTGAAAACCGCAAAACTTCGCCGTTTTTACAAAGGCAGAGGAAGCATGAAGTGGTTTCTTGGAAGCGATTATAGCGTAGGATCCATTTAATATTTAAGGTACACTATGTATTTGCCTACGTAGTGACCAACCTATAGCACCCCATTTGCACTCCATGGGCGAATGCAAACAGTTTTGGGGTTACGGTAATCGCTTGCGGTGTGCAATTACACGGCTACCCTTCGTGTATTTACGTAACATCCGTAATAATTTACGCGTATAAACGTCTTGATTAGTTCGCTTTGGAAAATCGAAAGCGGGGTGGTTGTCGGAGATTTGCGAGGGTCACTTGGGCACATCACTGAAGACATGTAAAACACGATTTTTGCATAAAGGGCCTGGTTCACCACTTCCTTCTCCAGCCTAGGCGTAGACGAAAATTTTCGTGGCTGTAGCTCGCGATTGTTTATTCATACTTGTTATACCCACTGTGAATGCCTCACTGGAGTAACGCCACCGTGAAAACCACACAAAAAGCCTCATCAGACGCCAACAGAATTCGCGTACGAGTCTCATTTTCCATGGTTCTTTTTCGTTATAGCAATCGCCAAATAGAAAGTGGATACACCATTTGATCATTTTATAGGGACTCCCTTTTTTTCAGGATGCTTCGCACTGTTGGTAGAAATTTCGGCTTTCGTTTGTCATCATTTCGTGCGCTGAGCACTGAAAAACCAAAGCCACCGAAGAAAACTAAGGAGGAGATTATGAAGGAGAAAACTCCGGCAGGAAAGCTGGAGGAGGTACGGGTTTTTTCATTTTATTAACCCCTACGGCGTAACATACGTGAAGGGTTATGAACGCTCCAACACATTATTAAGTGTGTAACAATGCGTGTGTATATCGACAGCGGTGTCTCTACAGCGTCTTCGCACCTCTTCCCTAAGCCAAATCTTAGGTTCAGAGCGCAGAAAATGTGGTTGCTTTCATACTTCGCGACTCGGCGTATTGAGGAATAATACTGTTTTGAGGCAAGGAGGTTTTTTGGATGATCGGCATTTTCGAGAGTCTGCATTTCAAGCCATTGTCGTTCGAGATGAGGCTGATTCTTCCAACGCCGAGTCACTAGCGTGAACGCAGCCTGTGAGTTGCCGTAGACTGCTCTTATAGAGTCGGACAGCCTCTGTTCATTTTTGACTTCGTGTCTTTTATCTAACCAAAGCGCGCTGCTCAGGCTGAGACCTCAGTGTTAGAAACATAGACCGGTAGTAGAAAAAACGCGGGGGCGAAGTGAGTCGCCCTATAGAATGCGGTAGAGCCAGTTTTTTGCCTCTATTTCTTTTTCTTTTCCTTTTTTTGTTTTTTTGTTTATTCGTTTTTGTTTTTTTTATCGCGGAGTTCTATAACCATGCTGCAGGTAGTTACGCTGAAAAAATCCCCCATGCGCAGTTCCTACATAAAACTCTCGCAGGCGACAAAACGCCAAACCTCATGGGCTCGAATCAAGAAAGAAGCAGGGTGAGAGGATTTTGGCCCAACACTTTCGGATTAACTTGAGTTCATACTTCCAAAATCCTTTTTTCATAGGTTTCGTTTCTTTTTTGGGCACTTGAAAACATTTCGGTATTTGGGAAATTGACTTTTGAGAAACACTATTTCAGAAACCATGGGAAGACCCGTACCTTCCCAGACATCCAGGCGGAGTGAATCCTATCACTGGAGAGGTATGTGTGTTTTCTTTTGTCAGATTTGGTAGAATTGTTCCTCAAAGTTTTCTCCGCCCTATCTAAGGTGACATACTTGTGCTGCAGAAGGCTCATAACGTTTGGGTTTCATTAAGTCCTTAATGCATTTAAAGCAGGGTGAGAAGAACAATTTATTTTGTATAGAAATGAAATATACGCCATCGGTCTCGTTTGCTACGAACGCTGGGGCGTATCAGAGAGGAGCTGGGAGGCTGGGTTTGGCGCGGTGCCATTCTCCACCAGTTGTGCTCGCCTGCCTGCCTCCACAATTGGTGGAAACAGGGTAGCTCCGCACCAAACCCACCAAGTCCTATACCCTGAAACGCCCCAGCGTCCGCATCAAACAAGGCTGCAGATTGTTCGTTTCGACTCTTGCTTTCTGTTTTGAGCTGCGAATGACCAAATAAGGATATAGGGGTGGGATTGCTGAAAACCCAAGAAAAATCACCCATCTATTAAACATTCAAGGGCATGCAGTAAAAAAATGTCGATAGTCATGAGAAAACTGTTATTCGAAATAATTGTTTCTCATCTACAGGTATGGCTGCGTTCACACTTTTCGTGGGCGTTTGGCGTTTCGGGTGAAAAGGAAAATATAGCTATCGATCCAGAGTTTTAGGAGGAACGCTCGGAACGCTAGTTCAGGCTACTTTCACTTTCACCCGAAACGACAGACCAGCAATTATACTTTCCTTTTCATCTGAAACGCTTAAAAGATCAATGAAAAATATGAACGCGGCCCAGTTGGTGATCCTTTATGGTCCGTGTAGCTAAACGAGAAGTGGAAGAGGAACGAGGGAGAAATTTAGCTTTCGCTAAGCGCAAAGGCAACTCCTTTTGCTCGCTTTTCTTCTAAATCTGGTCTACACGTTCCGTGAATATGAGGAAGAACTTTTTTAGAAGGTCATCCTGGTCTCCGTCGTCTCTTTTAATTTCTACACTTTTTTTTGTCAGCTATTTGCAACATTCCAGATCGGTGGTCCTGCTGGTGTTGAACCGACTCGATATGGAGATTGGGAGCGCAAAGGACGTGTCACAGACTTTTGAATATTGTTGTAACTAGACTTTACCATATATAGTCAAACGTATACTGTATAGAACCTAAATGTATAGATGTAATCCGGTGCGTTGTAGCACCAAAATAAATTTTGTTAAAATATGTATAACGTTTGCCTGAGGATTTGACAATCCATGGTTATTTCTAGTGTGCAC